ATATATATATATATACATATATATATATATATATATATATATATATATATATACATATATATATATATATATATATATATATATATATATATATATATATATATATATATATATATAAATAAATAGATCATTTATTAAAATCAAATAATCTGTATAGTCATTTTAAATTTTTAGCTGTAATCACTTAACTCATCTCCTTGTAGCTGAAGCCACAAACTTATCAGTATAGTGCAATGAAGTACAATCATATACAGTACCGCTGCTGTGTGGTGCAGCGGTAGCGATCTCGTCTAGCAATCTTGCTGACCTGCGTTCGAATCCCTCGCCACCAGTGGATGGTAACCCCGGCCATTCCTTGCACACAGGGGATAATTTAGAAGCAAAATAAAACAGACAGTATGTCACACCAAGAATATCCATTGTAACAAATGGAATCAAACTAAATTATAATTATAAATAGTCATGTATCATCGGCACAGTACTCTTGATCCTTCATCTGCAGTTAATATATCAGGAATGTTACCCCCTGCAGACACTTACAAAAATGTTGTTTTGGGAAGAAGTTGTCTTGCAGAACTAGTATCTCCATCTGTCAAGAAGTATTGCTTACAAAGACAGAATGATCCTCAGTATCACAATGGAATAAAATATTATTGAGTAAAAGACTTTTTAGTTCCAAACAGTGCTCTAGTACAGTGAGGAGACAATATTTCTACTAGAACCTGCCAGAAATGGATTCTAGTCTTAAAGCATCATGATAACCCATGTGTATGTAAGCCTCCTGCATAATCTCAGAGATGGTCACTACTTGAGAAGCATAGTATAGATCCACGACTGTGATGCCACTTAGTTGAGAAATAAAATCATCATATAGAAACAAATTGGCATAAGCTACACTGAGAAACACTGCAACAAAACAAGTATAGGCAACAGCTCTTTAAACTATCTTCACCTTCTTTCCAGGTAAACTTATCTCTACAAAGTGGACTAATGTTCGAGACTGCTACCAAAAATATTTAAAGAAGCTCCAAGAAAAGAAGAAAACAGGATCCAAGGCAAAATCCTTCAAAAAATATGTTTATAGTGACCAGATGTCATTCCTGCAGAAGAACAACATGAGAAAGGAAATGGTTCCAAGTGTGGAAGTTAACAGAGAAGAACTTGATGACAGTGAACATGGGATCAACAATCCTGAAGGTATTGAAACATTTGTTCCCCTACATGTTCAACCCAGAGTTAAAGGAGAAAAGCAAGGATCACATATTATAGATACTGAAAAACTACAGAAGCTACAAAATCAGCATATCAATTTCTTCCAAACAATTCCTTCAGAAGTTTGTTGAAAATGAAACATTGCATCTTCAAGCAGAAGCAATTAAAAGTACACAGAGCATATGCAAGTCTTGACAAATTACCATGGGTCCTCCAAGACTTAACTATTTGGAGTCAGATATTCAGCCCTCACCACATAGCCATGCTTCCCTTTTGGTAAAGTGAAACAGAAAATAATATATGCCTCCCCACCTCCAGCTTAACTTGGGAGAAGCAGTTTTATTTCACCTCAACCAAGATGCCAGCAGTACTACCAAATGAACACACATGCTGCTAACAGGCCAGTCACACTGGATTTCTCTCTCTCATTAGAACATAATCTTGACTAAACTCCACTCATGGTTTCACCTGCACTGTCATCTAACAAGGCTGTCATTGCTCTACTAACTGAGAACCCATGCTTTTCTAGCATACATCGCCATTACAGAAAAGGGTGATTGTATGGATCTATTTATTATATTCCTTTAATAAAGATAATATAGTTTAAAAGTTGTTAACTCACAACTTTTCAATGAATTCCAAATGAGTTCTTTATGATTATTTTCAGTGTCTTTGCATCCACAACAGGTCATATAAGCTGCCTCTTTAATGCACTGATAAGAAAAAGCAGTCATACTTAACTGAATAATTCAAATTGATACTGTAAAGAGATACTTAGAATTACTTCTAAATCTACAAGTCATACACAAGTAGATAATATGCTCTATGCTAGTACATATGAATCATATCCCTGTCTTTTATTTTGGTGCTAAAAAGAGTAACTTGAAATGATAATGTACTAAGTAATGAAAATAATTTAATCCCTAAAAGACAGGTGAGGCTTTAGAAGGCATCCCAGTTCTGAGGGTTTAATTATAATAGATAATATATATGACAGTGATTCATCTCCATCCTGCTCCTGTGTTCCCACAGAAGTAATCAGTCATGCTTAGTCATTTAAATCATTTTATTGACCTGGATATGTAGCCTCATAAATGTCTCTGCTCTTGCTCTCAGTGGTATTATGTTGTAGATAAAAAACAAAATATGGAACTCTGGTAAGTTGCTGAGAATGATTCTGAATCATGGACTAAAAATGTCATCTCTCTTCTCCACCCAGCAGAATTTGAAGCAAATTGCATCAAATTGTCTTTTTTTTTCTAGCTGTTCTGATACAGATAAGCTTTTG